TGGTGCAGATTTGGATCGTTTCGATGCCTCCGGTTGGACGCCCAAAGAGCATGCCGCGCTGCGAGGACATCTTGCCATTGCACGTTGTCTGGCAGAAGTCAGCCCCGGTGCCCCCGATGCCGAGCCCGACTCTGCAACATCCTCCGCTTCTGCAAACCGCACGCCATCCCCCGCGGGCTCCTCCCCGCCTGGCTCGTCTCTGACTGAGCGCCGTTCAAATGTCCCCGGGCCGACCTCCGGGAGTTCTGGGTTACGCAATACTGAACCTATCAAAACTTTTGGACATCGGTATCTCACCGATGAGACCATGATTCTGGTGAGCCTGGGAACAATGGACATGCGCAAGCCGCTGGAGACGGTCAATCTCGACCGGATCCCAATGGAGAATGCCCATGCCACGCAGCTGGACACGTCGCTTTCCATGGTCATTACCGCGAGCGGTGCCCATGGTGAGCCGGAAGTGATCGATCTGCCTGTACAGGACAATATCTCGACTGAACCAATTGTCTTCCACACGACCGATGCGAGCAAGGTTCGCCTTCTTTTCGACCTGGTCCCGACTTATTCCGGGTCAAAGGACCAGGTTGTTGGTCGAGGCGTCGCGCTGCTTTCCAGCATCAAGCCCACCGTCGGGTCCCAGCGCATCAACCTCAAAGGTGATTCCACTGTGCCCATCGTCGCCGCGAACACCCTGGATGTCATTGGGTCGGTGACGTTCAACTTTCTCGTCATCACCCCTTTCAAACATCCCAACATGTCCATCACGGGAAACCAAACCTACTGGCGGTCAGTGAGCTCAACAATGGTGATCGGTCATCGCGGTCTGGGTAAGAACATGGCAGCTCGTAATTCACTGCAACTGGGCGAAAACACCGTACAGTCGTTCATCGCAGCGGCGAACCTGGGTGCCTCATATGTCGAGTTTGACGTCCAGCTCACCAAGGACCATGTCCCTGTCATTTACCATGACTTCCTGGTCAGCGAGACAGGAACAGATGCACCCGTGCATACCTTGACCCTAGATCAGTTCCTGGAGCTGGGCAAAGGTCGACGCCGGAATGTCCTCCCCGACAGCGTCGACATCCATCGCTCGGGTACAAGTCCTCGGCCGCGGTCCATGTCGGTGGGCAGCTCCGAGTACGACCCAGCCGAGCTGACCGAGAAGATCAAGCACACGCGCGACTTCAAGAAGAAAGGATTCAAGGGCAACACTCGTGGCGAGCACATCCAAGCGCCCTTCGCCACATTGGAGGAATTGTTCAAGAAGATCCCCAAACCCGTCGGGTTTAACATCGAACTGAGTGAGTTCCCACCGCTTCCCGAAGAACAGCTTCAATCTTTCGGTCGATCTGACCAAGGTCGCAACAGAGTACCCCATGCTCCACGAGAGCGAGGAGGAAGAGATGGATACTTACGCCGTGGAACTCAACTCCTTTGTGGATACCGTCTTGACCAAAGTCTACGATCTCGGCGGCGGCCGAGATGTGCTGTTCTCCAGCTTCAACCCAGACATCTGTCTCCTGTGTGCTTTCAAGCAGCCCTCCATCCCGGTGCTGTTTCTGACCGATGCTGGCGCCTCCCCTGTTGGTGATATCCGCGCTAGCAGTCTGCAGGAAGCCGTTCGGTTCGCGTCGCGATGGAACCTGCTTGGCATTGTCTCGCAGGCTGAGCCGCTCGTGCTCGCTCCGCGCCTTGTCCGCATCGTCAAGGAGTCCGGACTCGTCTGTGTCTCGTACGGCACCATGAACAACGACGCAGTCAACGTTGACGTAAGTGCATTCCTCTCATTCCTCCCTACCTCAACATCTGACTTTCCCTCGCCTCTGCAGTACCAAGTCGCCCAGGGTATCGACGCCGTGATCGTCGACTCCGTTCTGGGTATAACCAACGGTCTGATCCAGCGCCAAAACCGCAGCGAGCGCACTCCAGGCCCGTCGCCCAACCCCTTCCCCATCAGCGACCACGCTGCCAACTCCGTCGCCGACGTACTGAAGGAGACGTCTCTGGATCAGGCAGACCAGAAAAATCCCCCTCGTACAGACGTGGAGCCACCAGCTATTATCTAGTGTCTAGCGTTATATGTCTGCATCTTCTTACATAGTTGCATTCTGTCTCTTCGGCCGTGGGCCCGCTTCAACAGCTAACATTATTGTCATACTGCGTGCCATTGTATGATCCTACCTTGGCTGCTGTTTCATTCATGCCATGTTTGTCCTGCATTTATCCGTCCTGCTGCTTCCTGTAATTTTTAAGCGGATCTTTAGTCATATGCAGATATGCATGTCGGGCAGCCTTCCTTCTGGGCTTCGTTGTATAACACTACTTTGGATGACTTAGGACTTAGCTTAGAGCCCTTCTCGGCACGGGAGCCTCCTATTGGACCTAGCTCCGTAGGGCTGTCTAGAAAAGCGGCACATATTTGTGGCGCACAGGCATTCCCAGCCCGAACCACAAGTTCGGGACTACAATACTTAGCTCCCTATCGATTTATTATCGCAACAATCAACTAAGTTTGAGAAACCGCCATGGCGCCATGGCCTTATCAATTGCGTCTTACTGTAGATGGTGGTAGAGAACCACTCATCCAAGTTCCCTGGCTCCTCCGATCCACTCATCTCGGGGTGACCCGAGCAGTCGATCTCGGTCCACCCCGACTGCCCAAGCTCCCGAGATGGTGGAGGTGTCCATTTCCGGGGCAGCGAGCCAGCTATGATGTAGCTACTATAGCCCCTTATCGCGCCATAACCCGATCCACCGTGGACTAAACTACTTACTCTAGGGGATTTATTCCATGTTTGTTGGTCAGGATACCATACATGATAAACTCTTCGGCCAGCCTTCCAATTCCGGGCTGCATGATTAGGGTTTGCTAGTCCCCGCAATTATCTGGCCGACCGCCCAGCGAGAACCGGATGCTCTCCTGAAGAATTATTAAGAGCGGCTGATCTGCCTCCTGATCTCCCAACCGCACGCCTGTGTCCTGGTGTGTATATCTGATGTCAAGCCCCTGCGAGCGGGTTACGCGTCGTTCATCTTGTTTTATTTCATGCGGCACAAACAGTCGCGAGCTCGTCGGCCAATAATATGCCTCCCGTCACGACGAACGAGGAGCAGAAAGCCCGCGACACTAGCACGGCGGAGGTGCTGGAGGATTTGCGCGATGGCCAGGAGGTGTCCAGGTCGCAGTTTCGGCGGGTGCTGCTGAAGATCGATCTTGTTATTATGCCGCTCATCGTGTTGGCCATGACGCTCGCTTTTCTGGACAAGGTACCTACTGCGCTCTCCCTTTTCTCCCGATAACCATACTGATTTAGTGTCGCTAGAATGCCCTGGCCTACGCAGCCGTCTTCGGCATGGAAACAGACGCCAACCTCGTCGGGCAGCAGTACAGCTGGCTAGGCAGTATCTTCTACTTCGGCTACCTGGCCATGGAGTTTCCGAACATGTACCTGATCACCAAGCTCCCCATCGGAAGATATCTAGGCAGCTGTCTCGTTGCGTGGGGCACGCTCTTGTGCCTGATGGCCGCTTGTCACAATTTCGCGGGATTGGCCACCATCCGGCTGTTGCTGGGTATCGCTGAGGCGGCTATGCTGCCTTGTCTGCTTCTTGTCAACACGCGATGGTATCGTCGTGAGGAACAGCCTTTGCGCACTGCGTTCTGGTACAATACCTTCGCGGGTGTTTTTGGCGGCATTCTTAGCTATGCGATCGGCCATATTCGTGGTTCATTGCCTACCTGGAAGGTTAGTTTTCGAGCCCTCCTTTCCCCTTTCGCGCGGTTGATACTGATTCGGCCGGTATACAGTATATTTTCATCATCTATGGCGCCGTGACTATTCTAGTCGGCTTTTTAATCTTCCTTGTCCTCCCCAATGCCCCGGCCACAGCCTGGTTCCTCTCCGCAGAGGAGAAGAGGATTGCTCTTCTCCGCGTCGCCGAGAACCAAACGGGCCTGGATTCCCACAAGGTATGCATCGCTATTCCCTTACTCCTCTCTCCCATCTATATAGAAACTAAAAATACTCCACAGGACATCCGCCTCAAGCATATCTGGGATGCCCTCCAGGACCCGCTCTACTACATCCTCATGATCTTCGTAATCGCCCAAGCAGTCACCAACGCCGGGATAACCAACTTCAACCCGCTCATCATCTCGGGCTACGGCTTCTCCACCGAGAAGACGACATTGCTCGCCACCCCCCAAGCCGGAGTGGCAATGGTCGCCCAGGCATCATTTACCTTGCTCGCCTGGTTCGTCCCGAACATCCGGTGCCTGCTGTGGGTTATTGCATCGTGCGTCGGCTTGGCCGGCGCCGTGATGGTTCATCTGCTCGACCCGACGACGCAGCGCAATGCCTCCCTCGCCGGCGTGTATATCATGGGCTTTTATAATGTACCCTGGGTGCTGGCGCTGAGTCTGCAGACCTCGAATACGGGCGGGACGACGAAGAAGAGTTTTGTTTCTGTTTCCATTGCTATCTTCTACGGTATGTACAGATGTTTTATATTGTTCTTTCTCTGTCAGTTCTGTTCTGACAATACTCTCTAGCCGTCGGAAACATCATCGGGCCGCAGTTCTTCCTCGAAAGCCAGTCTCCGCGGTATCCGCTTGGCATTGGAGCCATGCTCTGCTGCTTTTCGATCATGGCGGCGATGGGCATTCTTTACTTCTCCGTGTGCTTCGTGACGAACAAACGGCGTGATCGCGAGTATGGTAAGATCGATAAAAGCGAGGGCATGGTTTCTGCCGGGTTGGAGGCTGATAAGGAGGATTTGACGGATCGGCTGAATCCGCGCTTCCGGTACACCTACTGAGGGGTCATGGGCTTTGTATACCTTAATTTTTACATAGATTGAATCTATCAATCATAAACCTGTCTCTATAACGTCATTTCGGGCTCTAAATAGTATGGACCAGCGTCTCCTTCAGACAAAAAACAAATATAGATACAGGATATAGTCGTGAAGAGATTATTATCAGACATCAACTAGCTCACCAGATGTGCGGTACGAAGATGATCAGATCCTCCCATATCGTCCAAGACGGACCCATACCACGCCGTTAGCGTGTCATCGATATTGATCATCTGATCATCGAAGATGGTCGACACCTGGCTCAGATAAGACTCTAGTCCGTCCGGACCGGAGAACATCATGCTCGGATCGGCGGTGGAGTCGACGCCCTCCATTACGTCGGCAGGATTTGAAAAGAACGGCGCATTGGTCATCTGCGGTGGCGGCATGGTGCGCTGGTTATCCACGGCTGAGATGGCGGTGGCGGAAGTATAGATTTTCGTTCGGAGAGCGGCGAAGAGATCGCGGAATTTGGACAGGGAGGGGTTCCGCAGGCTTGCGATGCCTCTATCCAGTAGGTCCTGGCAGATGTTCGCGTCCTGGTGGTGGAGGGTTGGTGCGAGCATGGGGTTTGTGGAGGTTTGGGCGATCTTGCACATGTGCCTGTTCACAATCTTGTCAGTTCTTGTAGATTATTAGGGTCATGGGTATGGGTATGTCTCACCAATCGCAGTAAAGGCGAACAAGCCCTGTCAGCAGGATATCATGAAAGTGGCGGTAACAACGACAAATAACCGATATTCCCTCGTCCGCCGAGATAGCCGCCCACTGCTGTAAGGCGCTCGATGAGGCATGCGAGCAGATGGCGATCATGTTCTGTGATGGAATCATGAACGACGGTGATGGTCGGTTCAGGTTTAATAGCACCATGTAGTACTCGATGAGCATCTGCTTGTATTCCAGCGACGGCCCCAGGCCCGCTGCATCAAGCTGAGTCTTCCACCGATCTAGCCGCTGATGCAGCTCATCGGAGATGGCGCAAATCTCCTGGAAGGTGATAGAGGGGCATCGCCCTTTCGGGCCGCGGGCGATGTATATTGACTCTAGAACGCGACCGCAGATCTTTCGAAGCTCAATCATATGGGCGAAAAGCCAAACGGAGTTGGAATGGAACATGGGAGCGGATTTTGCTTCGTGGGGGGTGAGCTGGTCGATGGGGTTGGCGGTTGGAATGGGCGTGTCGATGCAATGATCGCGTACCGAGAGAACTCGGCCCGTACTGAGAGCTACATATCTGTGGCTTTGCGTTAGCGGTTATCGGTGTCGAGATATTGTTTGAGGGCATACCTCTCCAAGCTGTACACAGTCCACCATGTGCGAGTCCTGAGTTCGAGTTCTTCCGGACTGAAGTTCCACGATGGATTGTGCCGATGGACCCCTAATTCAAGGGCAATGGACATGCAGTATCGAGTGAGATGCCACAGATCATTGCTGTGATTGCAAGAAGGCGAACTGATCATTCTGATGGTGAGGAGGATAACCGCCTGCAGACCCGGGAGGTCGCGAGGATGTTCACGGAACTGTGTGAAGAAATGAAGAGCCGTCTGGAAATACTCTCGTGAACTATTGAAGTCCAGCATGCTGGAATATTCCTTATTGTCACCCGCTTCATCAGATCCCAAAGCAAGGACGATGAAAACAATAAACTTCTCAAAGCAACTGCATTCCCGCGGAACTTGATATATGCGTCGGAAGCACGATCGAACATATGCTAGATGCATGAACGGCCACCAGAGATGGACCCGTGCAATATAGACCGATAGTAGATACCCCGCGATGGCCCGCGAGGGGATTGACGCTGTATTGTCTGGCGGATCATCTTGCGACTCCAGTTTGCCGTGATCTGATTCTGATGTGGGATCCAAGCCCACTTGCTTGAAGAAGATGCGAGCAAAGGACGATCCAGCGGCCGCGCCCACTGTGGGGGTTGTCTTAGTCGGTTGAATAAGAATGATGTTGCAGTGGACTTACAATACTTGTTCTGGGAATATCGATCTTCAAAGCCAATGGCCAGCACACCCACTTCTTCCGCCTCTTTGCTCACATCGGCCGACCAGGGTAGCTTCTCAGACACATCGGGTGGTCTGGGATAAGCCGTGGGATCCAGACGGTCCGGTGCATTGGGCACATGGTCGGAAATATTATTATTGCTGGCCTGGGAATCGAGCTTGGATTCTAGCTCCTGGATTCTCGAATGCAGGCGCTCCACGAGGGCATAGGAATAGGCGACATAGTCCGTAATATTACAGGGCTCGCCCTGTTTCTTGCATGCCGAGCAGCGAGGCACAATCAGATCGCACTGAAAGGTCAGAACAATGAAGTTGGTGTTTTGGGGGGGTTCCAGTGGCGTACCTTAACTTTGCGGGCGCGACACCGGCTGCATGACTTGGAGACCGAGGGCGTATATTGTCCGATCTCGCCCAGCAGGGCCATGGCCTGCGGCGTGTGCCCGGGACTAATCATCCCGAATGGATGGGAGTCCGGGCTGCTCTTGGCGGCCGACATGACTTGCAGGAAGAGGACTGAGGTGATCCGGGGGGGGGCCAAAGGAGACCTGTCCGACAGAGTTGCGGGCGATCAGCGTTACTAGTTATTCAGAAGTGCCTGAGGCAGGAAAGTCGTATCGTCATGTGGATCTTCCAGGGACTAGCTAAACTCGAACAACACCCGCTGCCCCGGTCCCGCAGATTGGCTGGCGCAGGCAAATGCCTCCTCCCACTGCTCCAACCGATATCTCCCAGCAGTCACCCAACCCGCCTGACTGCCCAGCTTCAACATCCCGCCCTCCACCATCTGGATCATCTTCAGGATATCCGCCCGCTCATACATCCACTTCCCTTTGATCGTGAGGTTCTTATACGCCAACGCCGCAACCGGGATGGCCACATCCCCGATTCCAGATCCCATCAGACACACGCGGCCCGAGTGCTTGAGCGATAACATCCCGCTCCGGAGATGACTTGATCCTGCTGCCGCCGGCGGGGAGATATCGAAGAACGCATCGGCCGGGCCACACTTCGCCAGCGCCTCCATCTCCTGCTGCTGGTCGTTGGTAATCTGGACCAGCTGGACCCGGTCTTCCGCACAGATCGCCTGAAGCTTCCTCAGCGCGTCCATGTTGCGCCCCATCGCAACAACACTAGCGCCCATCGCCAACGCCACCTGCACCGCCGAGCTCCCAAATGGGCCCGTCGCAGGACTAACAATGACCTTGTCGCCAGGCTCTATCCCGATGCACCGCAGCCCGCCGAATGGAACAGGATGCACCAACATGGCCAGCAGGTCTTCAACCGTATACCCCAACCCGCCTGCAGTAGTCGGCCCGAGCAGCCGCTTCTCGTCGAGCTTGTAGCAGTTCTCCAGCGGCATCTTCGCGTACTCCGCATACGTCGAGTCGCGCCATTCTCCGCGCATAAGCCGCGCACTGGTCTCGGTGTGTCCCTCATGAACTCCCGAAAGCGCGGCTATGCTGGGATCGTCGCGGCCCCGGAGGTAGATGTCGACGAGGACTAGATCGCCGGCCGCGAGACTCGTTGCGTCGGAGCCCACGGCTGCGACGCGGCCGATTGCTCCAGATCCTGGTACCAAGGGTGTTGGGAGCGGGTAGTTGCGCTTGCCATTGTAGATGTCGCCACCGTAGGAGAGGATCTTGGCTGCGAGGATCTTGACCACTGCGCTGCCAGGGGTGGCTTGCGGGGTGGGTTTGGTTTGGACTTCGAGAGGCTCGCCGATGGCGTTGAGGACGAGTGCCCGGTGTGTAGCTGGGAGGGGAGCCATTGTAGATGTCAAAAAAATAATTAATTGATGGGGAGCTATGTAGAGGGCCGGAGAGGGCTGTTTTATATTGCCAGTATCCAACGCCCACCAGGCAGCTTACTCGACGTTTAACACCATTAAATCCGTGCGGATACGAGACACTACGCCACAACAACTCGTATCGAGCCTCTTGGATCATCCATAGTGATCTCGGACATAGCCGGATTTAGCAATCGCGGGGGTATTAGTTGCAGATAACGACACCAGTTTATAGTCAGACCTCAACGTCGAGAGGTGGTTTTGACAAGTCATATCCTGGATTCAACAAGGCGATATCTAGATTATAGCTCGTAGGTTCATCGTTCGTCATAACCCTCTTCGTGTACTCTTCACATCAGACATCCATCCTTGATGCTCGAGTGCAAGTCGCTCATGCCAACTCGTACCCGGCGGTAGCCAGCCCGAGGACTCGGGCTTTTCTGGGGCTGTTGCACACCATTCTGTTTGCTTTTGGAACTCTCCACACCCGGCGAAACACCGCGCGCACCACTCGCAGGGTGCGCTGGAAGCGCTGCAGAGGCCGGAGCTGTGCGCTCCAAGGCAAAGACCTCCACCATCCATTCATACCAGACCTTGCGGTCGTCTGTTTGGCGGTACATAGTGGCGACGATTTCGCCGCCATCCGGGACGTTGAGTGGGATCTAGAAGATAGTTAGCGCTGACAATAATAACAATCAACAAAGCAATGCCTTACCTTCAGCGGAAAGTATATCGGGAACCAACTGATCATGTTGGCACTCTTCGCCTCCATGGTCACTGGATTAGTCGAGAGCTCCACGCCCGGGTATAGAACAGTTTCGAAATATCCAGCGAGGCCGTGACACACGCCCCGGTTTTGGACAGGGAAGGACAGACGAGTTTGGCGCACGTTGTGTGCGTTGGAAAGCGTTGCACTTCCCGGCTGTTGTGGTGGGATATTCTTGTTGGGATGCGAGAAAGACCACGCGGTTTGCACCAACGGGGTAGGAAATTCAGTTGTGGAGGATGGTGTGCCTTGCGCTGAGGATCGACCAACACCATTTTGACTCGTAACATCTCCCAAAGTTGAATTGGCTGCCGAAGCCGCAGGTGAATCAGAAGTAGAAAGAAAATCGATGGCGTGCAACATGACCACATATGGCGTTTCTGGCGCTGCTGGATTGGATATAGATTGGTTCATAACATCGCAATGCAGTTTAGGAGCAGAGATGGGCGTAAAATGAGCCGAGTAGGAGGCTGGAATGGAGATACCATGGACAGGGTTGATGAGATCGTTTACACCGTCCAGGCATTCCGGCGACAGTTCGTTATCGGCAAACGAGCCCAGCAGCTCTGACACGAGAATGTCAACGTAGGTGTAAGAGAACCCGGAACCCATGGGTTCGGCATTGTTGTTGCCATTGTTTGGGTTATAAAGCAATGAGTTTTCAATGCCTAGCGATTCTCCCACCGACTCCTGCGACCCTGCCTTGCGTACGCGAGGACCCTTCCAGCTGCGCATGTCCGACTGGACTAGCGTTACCTTGTCGCCCCAGATGGTCTCGTTATGGCGCTGGAGCAGCACAAATGCATTCTGATTCTTCTCCACTGCCCAGATATCAATGTCGACTCCAGACTCTGCGCTAGCCCGGATTGCTCGAGTCACCAGCGGGCCTCGACCAGCACCCACAACAGCCACGATAACTTTGCCATCGGGGTGAGAGGTCGGCTTTTTCTGGTCTGCCCAGTCCCTCAACGCCTTCGCAATGGCCTGCTCGTACCATTCATACTTGATGGGATCCTTTTCAAACACCTCGTACGTGATACTCTCCAGGTTGACCGTGAGTGGCTGCAAAGGTGCTTGCAGATAGTCCTGATACCCGGTGCCAAATCGCTCAATTGCAGTGCGCGCGGGTTGTCTCTGCTGAAGATTGCGCATATACGAGAGGTGTGGTGTCGGGTCATGGTGCTTTTTGTCAGCACCTGCCGCCTGTGAGAGGCTGGGATATTCTGATCCTGAAAGATGCGACTGGCCGGGTTCAGTATCATCCACATTGTCAAGCCCTGGAATGGGACCAATGCCGCACAGAAGGATCCACGGGGCGGTCCGAAGACGCATCAGCTTGGAGATCAAGCCTTGGTGCGCCTTGGACAAAACTGGGAACCCTTTTTGGTTTTTGAGGAATGCCGAGGAATCAATTGTCAGCAGGTGCACTGGTTCTGAGTGCCACCGAGACTGCACAAACAAAGCGGGGAGCTGTTTGGGCAAGACGAGAGCTGCGCATCTGTTCAGTAATCGTGGGATAAATGACGACAATAGGTTTTATTCTCACCTACGAACAGCCTTGTATGGTATTTACAAGTCTTGCGAATGGCATCCCATGCGTCCCACGTCCCGAAGGCGTCCAATTTGGGCGGAGGCCCCTCTTCCGGTTCGATGTACTCTTCACGAGCCAACGCGGCCAGGTCACCAATCGTATCGACCTCCAGTTCAGGGTTGTCGACCATCCGGAGCCAGATGTGGAATTGGATATAGGGACCCAGGGCCAAAGCGTCCTGGATCGATCGGGCATAGTATATTACGCCTTCAGAGTGCATTTCGCCGTGATGCAACTTGGGGCCAGGGACTAGAAGGTATCCAATGCCACAGAATGCTGCGTATGCCACTTCTAGCATCAGCACTTGGCGGGACAGGTCTGCGATCAACGGATCTGGGGAGCACAGATCAATCCAGCTGCTGGTCACCCCGATCAATTGGCTAGTAGCTTCGTTGGGAGTGAGATACGAGTCCGCCTTCGAGAGTGGTGGGATCACGAGTGGCTGTGAGTTCGGTGTGGTCGCCATGGTCCCTACTGCATCGTACGAAGGCTTCTGCAGATTCGACAGATGAGAGGACAACAGCCCCAGTACGCGGGAGTGGAAATGCGAGGTGGTAATTGACACTGTCATCATATCATACTGGATCATAATCGATTAGTCCCATGTCGGCGTCCAGGGGCATCCCAACTCACATTGCTTTCGTGTACCTGCCGAACCACCTTTGCGGTGACAGGCACCTGGCGGTTGGGCTCATGGTGGCCGATGCAAAAGGGCGGCGCCGCATCCTCCGAGTAGGAGTCCATCATCATCCGACCTACCCAAATGATGGATGAACGAGGAAAGAAAAACAAGGGAGAAGAGGTGAGCCCAGGTAGACAGGGGCGTGCGCAAGGGACTTTCGTTTCTTTTCCCCCTCCAAAAAACAGCCCGGCAGAAACACTGGGCGGTCAGTCAGGTACCGCCCACGATAGGAGATCGCCGCCGCACCTTCCTATCTGGGATTTTTCGATCTCTGCGCCTTCCTTCTCTTCTCAATCTCTGCTCACTCTCCCCCGAACAACCACCACCACGCTACCCGCCATGGTTGATCGTCGCCCGGACGCTGACGAAGAAGGTTCACGCGCGAAGCGCCAGAAGATGGACGGAGGCTCTGACCCTCGCAACAACCCCTACCTCGCGCACATGTACGAGGAGCAGCAGCCCAACGGGGATAAGAGTTCGGTGCTGGCCAAGTTCAAGCGCCACCAGACCACGGCCGCGCTCGCGAAGAAGGCTGAGGATGGCGATGTCAACCCTTTCAGCAGCCAGCCCTTCTCCAGCAAATATTTCTCCATCCTGAAAACTCGTCGGGATCTGCCCGTGCACCAGCAGCGGTGAGTTAAATCGACCTTGGCCCGCGGGAAAACTTACTGATTCACTATGTAGCGATGAGTTCCTCCAGCTGTATCAACAGTCGCAAATCCTGGTCTTCGTCGGTGAGACGGGTTCCGGAAAAACCACCCAGATCCCGCAATTCGTCCTATTCGATGATCTCCCTCAGACCCAGCGGAAAATGGTCGCTTGTACGCAGCCCCGTCGAGTGGCGGCCATGTCTGTTGCCCAGCGTGTTGCAGCGGAAATGGATGTCAAACTCGGTGAGGAAGTGGGTTACAGTATTCGTTTCGAGGACATGACCAGCCCCAAGACCCTTTTGAAATACATGACCGACGGTATGCTCCTGCGAGAGGCCATGAACGACCACAACCTGTCCCGTTACAGTACCATCATTCTGGACGAGGCCCACGAAAGAACCATGGCGACTGATGTCCTGATGGGTCTTTTGAAAGAGGTTGTGCAACGCCGGCCAGACCTGAAGATCATCATCATGTCTGCCACTCTGGATGCCCAGAAGTTCCAGCGCTATTTCATGGATGCACCCCTTCTTGCGGTTCCTGGACGAACACACCCCGTCGAGATTTTCTACACTCCCGAACCAGAACAAGACTATGTCGAGGCAGCGATTCGCACCGTGTTGCAGATTCACGCAACCGAGGGTGAAGGAGACATCCTCCTGTTTCTGACGGGTGAGGAAGAAATCGAAGATGCATGTCGCAAAATATCTTTGGAGGCGGATGAGATGGTAAGAGAAGCCGATGCGGGCCCCATCAAAGTGTACCCGTTGTATGGCAGTCTTCCTCCGCACATGCAGCAGCGCATCTTCGATCCCCCACCGCCGCCCCGTCGACCTGGTGGCCGCCCGGGGCGCAAGGTCATTGTGTCAACCAACATTGCCGAAACGTCTCTGACCATCGATGGTATCGTCTATGTCGTCGACCCCGGATTCTCCAAGCAGAAGATCTACAACCCTCGGATTCGTGTCGAGTCGCTGCTGGTATCCCCAATTTCCAAGGCCTCTGCTCAGCAGAGAGCTGGTCGTGCCGGTCGTACGCGCCCCGGTAAATGCTTCCGTCTGTATACAGAGGGAGCCTTCAAGAAGGAGTTGATTGACCAGACCTATCCGGAGATTCTCCGATCCAACTTGTCGTCTACCGTTTTAGAACTGAAGAAGCTTGGAATCGACGACCTTGTCCACTTTGATCTGATGGATCCGCCTGCACCCGAAACGTTGATGAGAGCGTTGGAGGAGCTCAACTACCTGGCATGTTTGGATGATGATGGCAACCTCACTCCTCTGGGCCGCCTGGCATCAGAATTCCCTCTGGATCCCGCACTTGCTGTGATGCTGATCAGCTCACCGGAATTCTATTGCTCAAATGAGATCTTGTCTATTACCGCCTTGCTGTCGGTTCCTCAAGTCTTCGTTAGGCCTGCCTCCCAGCGGAAGCGTGCCGATGAGATGAAGGACCTGTTCGCCCACCAGGATGGCGATCATCTCACCCTGCTGAACGTCTACCACGCTTTCAAGAGTCCCGCAGCGCAGGAGAACCAGAAGCAATGGTGCCACGACCACTTCCTCTCGCTGCGCTCCCTCCAGTCCGCCGACAATGTCCGCTCGCAGTTGCTCCGCATCATGGAGCGAGAGGAGCTCGAAATGATCTCCACTCCGTTCGAGGACAAGAAGTACTACGAAAACATTCGGCGTGCCCTGTGTGCTGGATTCTTCATGCAGATCGCCAAGAAGGATTCCCAAGGCAAGAGCATGTATACCACCATCAAGGATAACCAGAACGTCCTTCTGCACCCGTCCACCGTCTTGGCTGTTGACGCCGAATGGATCTTGTATAACGAGTTCGTGCTCACAACGAAGAACTATATCCGAACAGTTACTGCTGTCAAGCCCGAGTGGCTCTTGGTATGTCGTTTTTGTCCTCCCTCACAAAATGTCCATATACTGACTCGCTTTCCAGGACATTGCTCCCACCTACTACGATATCAACAGCTTCCCCAAGGGTGAGATCCGAGCTTCTCTGCTCCGTGCTGCTGATAGACTCGCCCGGAAAGAGAAAATGCGCGGTGACAAGCGCCGATAGACCTTTATTTTTTTTACACTGTTGTCTTTGCGATTTATTTCCATGTCATGATACTTAGATAGAATCAGCTGTGCCATACTCCAACACTGCGTTTTTGAATGGGCCTCTTTCCGTTCATTCAGCTATGATATCTCCCTTTGTCTTAAATCGCTCTCTTCTCTTAGCATTGAAGCCAACGACATAGTAAGAATAGACGGCAGATACCCGGAAATTAAAATATGCGAGCACGAACTCGGTATTGCCAACGGCCCACTGTTTCATTCGCCTCTTCGAATGGCGACAATCGCAGCGCTTTCCTCATTCTCTTCAGTCCTTTTTCTGAGATAGCCGCTTGGTATAAAGAATATCAACTATCCCTACTTTCCTCGCCGCCTCCATCCCCAGGGATGACAGTCGACCTGTCCGGCAGGGTATAGGAGTCATCCACTTCTGGGGTATCGTGCCGGGTCGTCTCTGGCACCACGGGCAAGAATTCACGGGTGTATGCCTCTTCATTTATAGCAACGTACTTGAGCGGGGACATGCCGGGTTGTTCAACTCTCAGCTGATGATGGCATAGGAAAATCTCTCGGACGATGGCGAACCTCCTCCTCTCCCGGTCCTGATCAAGTTTCTCGTTTGGTTGCTCAAACTCCTCCTGCTGCTGCTCGGTCATATCGTTGATATGACCAGAGGGGCTCAGGGGTTGCGGGCGGTCCAGTCCCTCAAGAAAATCCGCCAGGTCTCCCCACGGGAGATGAAGAACCCGCAGATGTGGTAGTTTGGGAAGGACCTCCTCTTTCAGCATCTCCAGCTCATCTCGGCCGTGGATGGGAACCGCGAGCTCCTCCAGTTCAGAACACTGAGAGGCAAAGCGCAGGAGCTCTGCAGCCTTGACAACGCGCTCTGGGTTCTGGCGGGGCTTGGAGAAACCTGAATAGCAGAGTCGTCTCCAGTGGTGTCCAACTTCGTGCAGCGGAACAGAGTAGATGGGATGCACGGGGCCTTCCTCGTCCTCCTGCCACATAATGCTGTCCTCTTCCTCCTCAAACCTGAGGGTTCTGCCGTACTCTAGCACTTGTAAGGTGTCTAGCTTGGGGGCTGGAGAGGTGGGTATTGACGCTTGCTCCTCCCGGACAAGCTGGATGAGGCGAGCAATGTCCGGACCGAATCGCTCTACGGTTAGTGAACGGAGGCTGCGTGCACCGGTGAACATGCTCGGGAGAATGTGTCTGTACGGGACTACAGGACCGTAACCGGGATATTCACGGTGAACGTTATCCAGCCTGAGGCACTCGAGACTTGCTACATCCGTGATCTCGCGGAGATAGTCGTTAGGTGGGATTTGTGGATGCCCGTAAATGCCGTCAGATGGAGTGTATATCCAGGGCATTGCGCCAGTCCCCAAAATGCAGGCTTTTGAGGCTTAACAGCGGGAGCTGCTGCTCTCGTCGCTGTCTTGAGAAAGCGCAAGCTAAATCAAACAGCAAGTAGTTGTTGGAAATATACTCATGGTGGACACCGCAGCTCAAGCCCAGATGCTTTAAACCGGGGGAAGCAATTAATGCCTTTTCTATGTCAAGATCTCCGTAATGCCCGCCATCTATTTCGTGCACCGCAAGCGATTTGAGGTTGGAGAACTGAGAGAGTGAAGCGTCAGGTTGACCGCCGGCCTCCCAGCCAGGACCCCGTCCGCTGTATAAATGCAGTTCCTCGAGATTGGGTAATTCCAGGAGCTGGTCATAAATAGTCTTATATTGTTCAGGTATGGGCTCGTTCAAAAGCCTGGCCCGGCCATAATATATTCTGTCTCTCTGTTAGTCGTGCCACGACTCCGTGGGCATCTCATCCTCCCGAAACTGGGAGAAGGACAAACAAAACATACTTGACAGAGCGCAGCCATGGCATCTCCTGCAGAGTCTCCAGGAGCTCTTGCAATTTGGGCCCAGGGTCAGAACGCCCCCACAAGTTGGGCAGGCGCTCGTCCTTAGGCGTCTCCAATCGATGTGGAACTCAAGTGTCCGGGTATGGACCAAATTGGCCCTGGCCGCAGATGAAGACATAAGACGGCCCCAGCGAGCAGTGCTCACGTGGTTAATTGCCACGCGTTGATATAGCAGGGACTGCAAGGCTCTGTGCAACGGCTGGCACACCCGCGCCATAGTCAAGATGTCTTACGATGTGACTGAAAACCTCGTACGGCAGTATTAGTACTTCTTAAGCATTAGAGACTTACCTATGGCTCAACCTTGATAAGATCGCCCTCTAATGCGGTGTTTGAAGCCATACGGTGTACACAGAGAGAGAGAGAGAAAGGAGAAGATTCTCAGGGGATAAAATGGATGATTATACGCGAGTTTAGGTGCGTGCTTAGTAGACTACAAGGTAATTTCACTATGAAATACACCAGTCAAAAATATTAGGAGTCCTCGGTCCCAAATAATTGCTCTTAGCGCCATTTATAGTCGAGACTGAACGCTCCGCAATTGGCACGTCGGCTATTTACTCAAACACCAGAAGCGTAGTGTTACCGCCACCAATATTACATAAAGGAAAGGACACGATGACCACATAAATCATGTACAAAAACGGATGCCAAAAGACCTCTCTACTCCATAGTTTGCACGGGCTGGGTACGTAGCTGTTCCTCGCGCCAAAGCCGTCTGCGTGCTGCGGGGCTGAGATTCGACCAGCTCGTTTTCGCTTGCTCGCTGTCTGGCTGTGCAGGGATAGAAGACGTCGTCTTCGCAGGGGCGGTGTTGTCGGAAGGAGTAGTTGCGGATGCGGATGAGAAAGAGGAAGAGGATATATGAGTCGCGCCCCGTTTGAGAACATCGGCGCGCTGTTTGCGGCTTTGGCGCAGTTTGCCCAATCCTCTGGGGTATAGGGCGGAAGGCGCGGTGGTGAATTTGTCGCTGTTGATGAGGGTCGATATTCGTTCAAATTCGACGTTTAGTGGCTGCGTGGGCCTGGCGGGGGTGTCTGGTGGAGGTGTTTGGGTTTGGGTTTGGGGTATATCGGACGGCGCTTCCTCGTCCGCAAGAGATTCGTCTTCTTTGAAGGAGTCTTGGATGTGGTGCTTGCGAAGCTCGAAGACGAGGGCGCGGAGTTGGGCCATTTCCGCCTTAAGGGCAGTGACGTCCTCTTGGGAGGTCGTGTTATCGGAATTGAGAGCAGACGGATGTGTCTCTGAGGTTGCTCCACCCACACTAGCAGCTTCTGTGTCCATTGAACCACCGCCTCGCGTAACGGATGGAGCGCTTTGTGCATGTGGACCAGCCAACTCGGTGTAATGTCGTGAGGTGCTGGTTTTTTCCAATACCTCAAGATGATCCAGCCGTCTTTGGACAATATTCGCGAACTCCTGGCACTGTTGCCACAAGGGGCGGTCGATATTTTCGTTCGGCACTCCATCAGCTGCCTTCCTCCACCGCGAGAAGTTGGAGTCAACGATTGGCACGACATCACGTTGGCCCGATGGCATGGCCGGGTTAAATCCACTGTGCATCGCAGCAGCAATCAAAGCCTCCGCGGTGTCCTTCTGGCCGCAGGAATCGCAGAGATGTACCATCCGCACGAGTAAACGCTCGACTTGGTCGGGAGAATGGTCCGTCGACGAAACGAGGAAAGTAACAGCTCTTTTCAATACATGAGTTCCCTTGTCCCAGTCCTGGCGAATGCTGTAGAATCGCAGGTAAGAGAAAAGAGTATTCCAGTCGTCAAAGAAACCAACGCTGCGAGCTGCCTGGAGCCAGGCGTCGGCTCGGTCCGGTTGATCAAAGCGTAAGGCTGCTGAGATTAGCGCAGTATAGATGACCGGGTTGCTACTGTCCAGCGTCGGAACCACCAGGTCAATTCCATTGAGCTTCCGGCGTCGGTAGATGGCTTTTCCCAGATTAGCCGGGTAGCCACCGTGGCCGCTGAGCATTTCCAGGAACTGGTCAAACCCCTTGAGGTTTTTGGACTTGCGGAAGAAAGAAATAATTGTGACGATGACCGATTGGGTAAGTTGAAAGTAGTGAGGAAGTAGGGTTCGTAGAAGAAGGTCACCCAAGTCATTTTGGCGGGCGCGGGTAAAGGCGATCATCATGATTCTGAAGGATGGAGTGCGGTCTGGGTCTGGAGAGTTCAACAGATTGTTCGATAGGCGCAGCAGAAGCTCTTCAAGAGACATCTGCCTGCTCATGAACAAATCAACATCTTCCTTGAGCTCGGCTTCAAGGCTGTCGCGCCGCTCCTGCATCTGGGCCTGGCTGAGAATGGTATAGTCGGATATGACGTCTCCAAACTCCGCACTTTTCTGTGTTTTCAATTCATGAATGCGACGTCGGATGTTGTTCAGCTCCCTCAGAAGTTTCTCGACGTTGACGCTCGGGATGTTCGGGTCCGAAGCGTAATTCATTGAAATGCCCGAGTAGCGGTGCGCGATTGTCGGACGAAGCAAGAGCCGAATAGCAAATTGTGTCAATGCCAGTTTTTGGATCGCCTTCAGACGGAGAGGGTCATGAAAAGCCCAGTCGGGAATGCCTTCGTCCTCTTCCTCATAAAGTTCCCCCTCTTCCGGCTCCTGATGCTCCACGCCCTGCTCATGATCCACCGGGGCACTTTCAGATATCTGAGCACTGGCCGCATCCATCAATCTGCGCTGAGTATGATATGATCTCGTCGACCCATGTGTCCGGGCCGAATGTCTGATTGACGCCGGGAATTTCGGAATTGTGCCCAACCCTCCCAGCTGCGAAAAAATCGATCGAGTCCTCGTTGTTTCCTGCGCGACCACAATGCATCCAAGATCCGTTGTTCCTCATCCACCAGTTCATTCACTTCCGCCTTGACGGCTGCGATCTTCTCATCCCAATCGTTTCGGCGTTTATCTTTGCCGCGCGCATCGGCCAGAGCGGCGCCGGCGAAGATGCTGGTATAGAACAGGGTGACAGAGTTCCCGATGCGCAGTTTCCTCCTGCTTGCCGCGGTGGCCGATCGTGAGGTGACTCCCTTGGCGGCGGTGTTCAGACAGGAGACACACCGGCAGGTTGACTGCGACGGGGCAGCGCGGGACCACAAACTCTGCATTATCGGTACATTGCTGTCACCAATTGATTCGGAAAAGAAGGAAGAAGAACAAGAAATTGGACTCCCGTGCGGAGTCCCAACGAGAACTGGCGGGCGATGGGGAGCGAAATGACGCTGAAAATCATTACTGGCGGTGGAAATAATAGTCTCGGGTGCAAACACTGCAAACACTCCCCGTGCCCGCTTGCAGCGAGCTGTTCCTGTGGTTCCATTTATTTGTTGCTCTGCCAATTCTCCGACTGTTGGATCGGACTTACTTCTCCGACTCTTACAATGGTCGCCAAACTGCTCGGACTCGTCGCGGGAGTGCTGGCGCTGACCAGCAGCGTCGTCAATGCCCATGGCTCGCACGCAAACGACAACCCCCCATCCGACGACTGGGCCACGAACCATATGAGAGGTAGAACACCTTTCTCTGGCTAGCAGTCACAGTGCTAATCACCATGGTATAATACAGAGGAACACCACATTGACGCCTTCGATGCACTGTCCTTCTTCACGCTGCACGACTACGATTCATCGGGGGCTTGGACCCCTGACGAGGTGCGCAAGACGTACGGTCTGGACGACGAGTCCAATGCCGGTTCCAGCGAGGCCCGAAAGCAGGAAGCAGTCCTCGCGGTCTTCAGACTGTTTGACCGGCAGAACACAGGCGAGATTACCCGCGATTCCTGGATGCAAGGCATCAACTCCGGCCTCCGCTTGCCCGATCTCGGGTTTGGCCCTGGACACCACGGGGACGACGAGTACGAGTATGAGATTCACCACTTCGAGAAGTACCACAATGAGTACACGACGGAGGAGGAGTTGACCCACCCGGAGGATATTGAGCATTTCCGGAAACACGACGAGGAGGAGCTCGCGGCGCTGCGGTTACAGAAGATGGAGCAGACGCAGGTGGTGGACGGGAATATCCCGGACAAGTTCCGGAGGAATTAATGGGATTCACTCATGTATATATGTGCTCATATGGAATCAACTGTTGTGATTTATCATAAATGCCGAGTCGGTGCCCGACAATCGAACGTCAAACACGCAGTGCATCACGCCCGGTGCATACGTCTTGACGTGTTCCACATGCTGACAATTGGCAATTGGCTGGTCAAGGGAAGTCTGTTCCCGAGACCGGACTCGTGCCAGCTCATCCTCGATCTCTTTCTTCTTTTGCTCGATGTGATGGACATCGACGTTCTCATGAACATGGATCCAGCCGCCTCTTCGTACATCAAGCATCCGGCAGGCATTCTCCCAAGCCGGTTGTGACGAAGGCAAAAGACCCAGGTTGACATGGCGGACGGCATTCCACGTGCCCAGCCCGTCCATGACATGACTGACCGTATCCAACATGTCGGCAGCAAACCTGTTGTCGCCATGGAAAATCACCACGCGATCAGTATCGCTCAGACTTTTCACGAGGTCCTCAATATTTTCTCTTCCATCAAGTTTCCCGTTGTCGGTAACCTTGACAACTTTGCACCCCCATTTGTTCGCCAGACATCCCCGACGCAGACCCTCTACAGACCAGCCATTCAGTTCCCACCCCCACACACGCTTCACCCCTCGTCTCAAATATGAAAAGACAAAGTAGCCGATCCCGGCATACAGATCCACGACGCTGATTTCCGAAACAGGCTGGTGCAATGACTGCGCATCCAGCCCTTCAAATGTATCCGCCGAGGGACCCTCGCCGAGAATGCGTGCTTTCTCCGTGATATTCCCCCGAGAGAACATCGTATATAGTGGAGCCCAAACCTGCACAATGCCGTGGTTCTGCGCCGTACGTACCCAAAAGGCACGCTCAAGATCCGCATCGCTAGGCTGGGATTTCTCCTCGCCAGTCACTGGCGATATATCTCCAAAGTCGCCGTGCAGCGGAGTCAAGCCCGCCGGACTGCGCATGCGGTTCTCTTGGCCTCGAAGGTCGGTCAATGCGATAGGAGCATTGATGGCGATATGTGTCACGCCCATGCGCGCGAATGACTTTGCGATCGAGGCATAGAGGCTCTGCCGTTGCTCGTTTGTGAGAGATGTGTAAAGAGCGCTCCAGGCGGGTGGTGCATTGAACGCATTGGCTGGAAGTAATAGAAGTGGTTCGTAGATTGTGAATCTCTTGGGGAGTGCTTGAGGTAGGGTGTCGAGGGATAGATTGCACGCTGATAGCAGCGACTCCTGGATTTGTGTGTTTAAAAATTCCTGGATTCCAGCTTGTAACAAATTGGAGGTTTTGTGGGGTCGTTTCTTGCGCTGCGGTTGGGATTCAGTGCTTGTGGCCATGGTTTAAGCATCGAACTGTCCCCAGAGTTCTTTCTGTAGTTGTGTTCAAGAACGTGCCGAGATTGACATTCACCGGCCGGGTGAATATAGTCCACGCATGGGCGATTTATCTAATGGTGTTTGTCCATCTTGTCGGAATTTCAGTATCACAGACGAAATTTATCCAGCAATCGCCCTGATTGAGTGGAATATATATCGGCTCCACGTGACCGGTCCCAACATCTACATTTTACCATAAAATATGAAGACTCGTGAAATTGACGCAGAGATGACTGTTTTCGAGGCCAGAAACACCCGCCTTTCAACAAGTACCATCCAGAGCGAGTCGCCGCTTAACCGCCCACAATCTGTGTAGCACCTCCATTCTGCACCCGCCAATCACTTTTAGTCACCTTCCTAATTCATGTTGATTTGCAAAGTAACGGATATCAAGATAGAAAAAAGATCAAGAAACACGCCATGGCTTTCAAACGACCAGACCGCCACGGGACGGAAACCAAGCATGAGAACGCCAGATCAGGAGACGGAGACGCTAAAACCCAAAGGAAACAAAAAACGAGGGGGAATATGTAGTGAGCAGAGAAGCCATGTTCAAAGGGAACTCCAGCAATTAGTGCCCACGAAACAAAAAAGGGTGTGCTTCCATAAACGAGGATCACATCCATCCATTCACATTCAAGGCGAGAGGAGTTTTGAGCATAGCAGATTAATCAGAAGGAAGTTTATGAGAGCAGCCAGATATGCGGGAGAAAGAGGAAGCGAGGGAGGACTCAAAAATCCATAGCCGAGTACCCCAGTCGGTCAGTTGAATCAATCACTCTGTACGGATTTTGTTAGCAATGCCGCGGACCAAGCCAAAATACTCCAAACTTACGAATACTGCTTCGTGAGAGTCCCCTCCCCACCCTTGGACAGATCAATGTTAAACACGTAGAAGTTGCCGTCATTGGTGACAACCATCACCTGAGGCGTATTGCTACTCATAGCAACCACGCTTCGGACCGGACCAGCATTCCCGTTTCCGCTCTGCCCATGGTTGGTCCGAGGTATTTTGATCCATGCAAAATCCCGTGCTGGCTCCCACATTTCGCTGACGCCCTTGGGAAGGTACCCACCCATTGTGGCAGCGACTGCTCCGCCCACATTCTGGGATGTGCGACGAAGCATGCCAATCAAGGTTCCATTATGCTTTCTGTTGGAGAATCCCGAAGAGCCGATTTCGCCACTAGCCTCGTCCTCATCGGGCGAATAGCCGAACGGGCTCTGTCCGAAAGTCTGGTCTCGGCCCACGGGGGAAAGTGATGAAGGGGACCCGTCGAATGATGAGGGACCTTGGTGGCTCAGCTTGAAGATGTGGATGGTCTCGGTGGATGAGGAGACACAGAGGAGGGTCGACGTGGTGTTGAAGGACATGCTATATATGTGCGACGGCATGGAACCGCGCCGGAACTGATATAGCTTATGGCCATCTGGAACGGAAAACACGCGAATGATCGTTCCCTTGTCGGAGGCAGTCGCCAATAGAGTCCCGTCGCTGTTGAGTGTAATGCATGCCAAAGGCGAACGGTGAGCTTCAATGACATTGATCGCTTCCAGCTTTATGGCATCAAAAATCAAGACCTCCCCGCTGGTGGGTGAGACGTGAGTTGACCCCGGTGGGGCGTGTGCAGGTGGGTTTTGGGAAGCAGGCGCTTTCTGAGGGAGAGGATATGCCATGTAGCAATTGTCTGAGGAGGGCGCGAGAGCACAGATAGCTAGCAGAGAATTAGCACAGTGTTGGTAGAGTCCTAGGATATGCATACCCTGAGGATTCGGTGATGTGTCAATGGTAGACAAGAGTTTCATGGTCTGGATATCATAGACATAGATCTGATTCTCGAGGACAATGATGAGACGCTTGCGATTCAGCCTGACTGACAAGACGGTGGTCGGGAAGGTCAATTCACAGATGGTGCATTGTCGCTATTTGAGAGGTAGTCAGCCACATGCGACAAAAGCGGGGGGATCCCAACCTACCTTGGTATTTGTGATCTGCAACCGGCGAGGGGACAAGATGAGGGCTACTAGAGATGTCGAAAAGAGCATCTCAATCACCGCGATGTTGCCCTCCTTGGTCTCATAGCTTTTGGCGAAGGGATCAGTGGTGAAGATGCGGAAACCTTTGCCTGTAGCTGGTAGGGGTCAGTACAAGGAAGCTCGCTGCCATCAGTAAAGACTTACCGACCGCCAGGTAGCTATAGTCCTGGTTGAACGTCACGAAATTCATCGTCATCGTGGAGGGGAAGCGTGGATGGGGGCGGGGAGCCCAGGCAGCCGAGGAACGATGATCAAGCTCTCGTGGAGCGCACGATAGAGAAGGAAGTGGGAACGAGTCAAAAGCCCATCACCAGGAGGGTGCGACACCAGTGCAGGGCATGCAAGGCACAACACAGAGAAACAAATCCAGAGAGAAAGTCCTGCGTCACTGGGAGAGTCACGGGTCTGCTACCTTGATCGTCACCGCCTTGCCTGCTCCTTATCGTTATCGGGATCGTTCTCTTTTTCACCTTCCAAGTGATGGCCCCTCGACCAGCCATGGCCGCCTCCAAGGCCGAGAAGGAGGCTGATAACGTGATGGCCGTATGTGGTGGCCCAATTGCGTTGATTTACACTCGCTGACTGGACGATATCGGCAGACAAACAACGGCAGCATCGTGTCCAAGCGCAGCGTGGAGATGATCTACTACCCGGAGCCGCACTTCTTTCGTCCCTTTGTCAAAAAGCCTCAGAGGCGGACACCACTTATCAACCGTGGCTACTGGCTGCGCATGCATGCCATGACCGAGTCGGTGCGCCAGTTCATAGATACCCCATCGGACAAACCAAAATTCGTCCTCAACCTTGGATGTGGATAGTGAGTCTCTATAGATGGCGCGTTTACTATATTGGATCAAATGCTAAGATCGGGGATTGTCTGTTGTAGTGATCCGCTTCCCTTCATGCTACTTAGCGACGAGCGCCGGTCAATGCGTAGCAGGCAGACTATATTCGTGGATATCGACTATGAGAAGCTCATGGTCCATAAGAAGACCGCCATCCGCCGCACGCAGGAGATTGCAGATCTCCTAGGGGATATAGAATACCTGCCTGACGAATCACCTATCCAAATTCGCAGTTCACGGTACCTGGCTGTGGGCTGCGACTTGAAAAATCTGACCAAGTTGGAAGACGTGATGCGAAACCATATCCTGCCATCCACCGACTGCTCGGTGCTCTGCCTCGCTGAGGTCTCCCTAACATATATGGATGTCAAATCTTCCAATGCGGTCATCAGCTGGGCTTCCAAACTGACCACTGGTGAGTCCAAACAACCTGCATTGAATTCACTACTAATACCGTGGATTGCAAAGATATGAAGTTCTGTATCCTGGAGAAGTTTTTCCCAGATGGACCAGATCACCCCTTTGCATCAACGATGGTGAAGCATTATAACAACCGCCAGACTCCACTGCACTCGATTAATACATACCCCTCTCTCTCTGACCAGGAACGACGCTTCAATGACGCAGGGTGGTCATATGCGCGAGCAAGAAGTTTATGGGACCTATGGTCAGATAACTCATTCTTGCCAGAATCAACCAGAGCAGGCCTTGATGCGTTCGAGGTCTTCGACGAATGGGAAGAGTTTGCGCTTTCCTCGTCCCATCATTTTCTTTTGATTGCCTCGACAACCTCTGATATCCTTATGGATTCACCCCAGAATCAACAAAACGTTGAAGAACCAGCACAGACCAGCAAAACTTGCGGGTTCGTTCTGCAACCATATTGCTCCGTCCAGAGTCGCGGGCAGCGCAGACTTGGTGCTTTGGTCCCTGATGGGACTGCTTCAGTCGGTCATCATGGTGGAATTGGCCCACAGACTCGACTTGCCTCCACAGATTTATATTCCTCTTCTTCTGAGGTCACTGAATCTCGGACGCAGTTTCCGCGCGACATCGCTGCAAGAGCGTGCCACACCGTTACCACGCTGGATGAGCAGAATGGGACCTGTCTTCTTGTCGGCGGAAGAGCTTCACCTGGCGCCCCTTTTAATGACTGCTGGCTAAGACATGAGAATGTGTGGCGTCAGACTCATCCTCTGCCAGAACCAAGATTCCGACACAGCGCGATCAATATCTCGTTCGGCGATGGCCTAGACAGGGCGCTCGTATACGGTGGGAAATCGAAAGAAAACCAGATCCTAAACAGTTGGTTACTTTGGAGCAATGACGATGAAAAGGGATGGCAGACCGTAGACACAGATGGTCCTCAGCCCGAGGCTCGCTTTGGGGCATGCTTTGCAAAAGTCCAGGACGATTGTGGGATCATGTTTGGCGGAATTGGACATGATGGAACTATTCTTGAAAACATTTGGGCATGGAAGCTCTCGCGATCTAGTGATGGATCTCCGAAACTGGCATTAGCCGACGTGACTGGTACGATCCGGAATGTCTCACCACGGCTCTTCCCGTATCTGAACCGGCTCGGAGCAACTGTCACTACCACATCATTCGGAGTTGTCGTTTCCGGTGGCATTATACCCCGTCAAGCAATTCCGGCTAACAAGGAAATTCTGTTGCTGGACCTCGGAGAACTACGAGACTGTATCACGACGGCGACACCATGCACTTCTGCTTTGATCACCTGCATCGGACTCGGAGACGCATTTCCGGGCCCTCGGCCTTTGCTCACTGGCCATGCTGCCTGCACCACAGCCGCTGACGAGGTTCTGATACTGGGTGGAGGAGCAGTCTGTTTCTCCTTCGGGACATTTTGGAATGAGGGCACTTGGTTGTTAAAGCGTGTGGACTGCACTGTGGAGAATACATGGAGCCTCGTAGCTTCGGCGCCAAAAGTATACCCACAACCCCAAGCGGGACGGCCTGCGGTCGAGCCCCGCGGTCCAGACTGCGTGAAAAGTGTCCCCCGCCTACGAATCAAGTCTGCCACGCAGTTCCAGCAAGTGGTGGCTCAGGGTCAAC